TGATCAGGGAACCTTAAGACCCAAGCCTGCATTGCCTGGGATCACAGGGAATGCTGTTAACAGCAACATGACAGTGCATGAAGACAGGGATTCCACTGGGTACAATCTTTTGAGAAATGAAGATCCAGGCATGCAAAAGTTGAACATGGGTAGTCATATTGTAGAGACTCACTCTGCATCTCCATGAATGTGTTCTCTTCAGCATGTTCAGTTTGGAAGAAGCCCCTGATAAGTGACAGCATGAGAGGTCCTTGTGTGAAGTGTTCACCCTGAGTCCTGAAGAGCCCATACCCACCCTGATATTGTTCCCAGCTGCCTCTCAATCCTTGAGGAAAGCCAGAATGATTCACCCATGACTGAGAACCTTGAATACATTGAAGAAGTACATCAGTGGGGCAGATGTAGCCTTCTGAAGTTGTCAGAGCAGTACGCAACATGTCAAGCAGTCCCTAGCCAAATTCCCGTCTCCTCTCCCTAAAGTAACATCCACATATTGCATATGGTGTAATCTAGCTTAGGAGTTCCTTAACTTCCTAGTTTGAAAGAACCCTTGTCTGCAGAATCCCGTGGTGGTGAATTCTTCTTGTTCTCTACATCAGGGATGTGTAGCCATCCCCAACCCATTTCCAAGAGCTGAATACTGTCAATAATAATCTGTCAGGTGCCACATTCCATAATGGTACCCCATCCAACACAAGCGTTCATGCATTCATTCTCTTCCTCACTCTTTTTCCCTTGCACTTCCACCCCACAGAATTGCACATTATCTTACATGCTATGGCTTCTGTTAATTTTTTCTCCCCTACCTACCCTATTTATACCCCACCCAAATATCAGCCAAAATCATTTTCCCCTAGTACTACTATTACTCTTTTAAGAAAAGTCTAGCTCCCAGGCCTTGCATTTTAAGGACATGTGTTTCTTTTAAGAAAGTTTGTTCAACCGAGTTTTTATTTTCTTCCTCCGTCCCAGGAAGCCAAGATATCAAACCAAATGAAGAAAGGATGATTGAGGGTAGAGCAAGACCACAAAAGCTGATTGCATGTTGTAAAGGAATACAGATAAAGTGAATTTCAGGAAGGCTTAATTAAGCTCCCCAAACCACTGATAACAAGCTCATAGATAACCAGAAGATAACAAGCTCATAGATAACTAATTCCAAAAAAAAAAAAAAAAAACACTTGTCTTAGTGTATTCCAATTGCATTCATCAAAAAGCACTTATGGTGATGCTACTGGATTTTGTAACTGGTCAGCTGGTTGGTTAAAACTCATCTATTTGCAATGCTCCCCCAACCACACCAGCACACAACTTACTTGGATCAGTCTCTATAGCTGCATCTTACTTCACAAGTGGAAGGTCTCTGTGGGGTCCAATTTCATACTGATAATCAGCAAGTAAGCATCACATGACATCTTCTGGTAAGCAGGCTATGTGAAAATGAGTAATCAGAAGGTGGGCATACTATGGTAGAGCAAGGTGCCCCTTGGTGCATCACAAAAATTCATGTATACTGAGAGAGAGAGAGAGAGAGAGAGAGAGAGGGAGGGAGGGAGGGAGGGAGGGAGATCATACTGAGTAAATAGCTTAATTTGGGGTAAGTTGCTCCATCACTGCTTGAAACTGGTATAAAACACTATGTCACCCAAGCCACATCTAATCATCCCTTAATCATACAATTGCCTGCCCTACATTCCTGCATGTGTACATGACACCATTTCAGATCAGTACTGTGGTGCTTCAGGAGCAGAGCATTTCAGCTTCCTCCCGTTCCCTCATTTTTGTCCTAAAGTTTCACACACACCTTTGGGCCAGAGGAGGTCAAAAAGCCTTCACTGGAATCAATGGAGACTTTCTTTTTTCAGCTACCCCACTCCATGGTGGCATGTAATTTCAGGACATAGGTGCCATGGTTTGGCATCTGAATCAGAGCCCTGAGAGCTAGCAAGACAGTAGGGAAGCTTGACTGTGCAAGATTAAAGGAACATTTGTTTTGGCCCTAAAGGTGTAGGAGTGGCCTATGTTACTGTTTGCTTTTGTGCCTACAGCACCCAAAAAGTATACTCTAACCATTTTCAAGTGGGATGGCATTTCTTTTCAAAACAGGTTTTCCTTTATGATTCAGTGATCCTGAAGCATAGCAGCTTTTATTTAAAGCTTGGATATAAAAGATTATTGTCTGTTCCAACCCTGCTAGTAAATTACGAAAGGGCATTTCCTATTCAAGTGGACAAAGCCAGAACTCATAGATAACTCCAGGATATGCTTCTAGGGTCCATGTTATTGTCGGGGCATCAAAAATGATTGACTAGGAGCATGTCCCTAATTATGTGCCAAACATTTTCCTCTTCAAGTTGAGCAATTAAAAATGTGGCCAACTCATAAGTAAAGTCACAGTATAAGACTTAAAAATACAGAACATGGTTACCAGCCTCACACCTCAGCACCCTTTGGCCTTAGAGGGAAAATAAGTCATTGATACATATGTGGTCATTTCTCTGAATTGGGTGGTGACCCTGTGCTCCTCACAGATGTTGGACTCCAAGCACCATCAACTCCAGAAAGTATGGCTCATGGTCGTGGGTTCTAGGAGTTGTCATACAACAACATGTAGAGGATCACAGGTTTTCCAGCCCTGGATGCTTCATCATGCTTTGATGATACCTAAGGTCCATGACAGCCAGTCTGGTGTAGTGGTTAAGAGCATGGACTGCAATCCAGGAGATCTGGGTTCTAGTCCCCATTTGGCCATGGAGCTCACTGGGTGACTTTGGGCCTGTCACAGACTCTCAGCCCAACCTGCTTCACATGCTTGTTGTTATGGGCATAAGTTTGAGAGCAGAAAGAGAAAAATTATGTAAGCTGCTTTGAGTTCTTTGTAAGAAAAAGGCAGGATATAAATCTAAATAAATGAATAAATATGAGCATCAAGGATCAAGTGATATCTGTATAGGAGCAATTGTGTGCCTTGGTCATTTAAATACTGTGATTTGGTCTCAGAATCTGTTCAGATATTGTACGTGATGACTAACAATACAATATTAGTCACCTCAGGGAATGGCAGGGAACATAAGTTTAGAAAGTTTGAAAAGTGGGTTGGACTAGTTCATGGAAGACAAGCTTATCAGTAATTGTCCTAGCTATTAATGGAGAACACATTCTCTTAGTGTGAATTGTTATGTAGCCAAAGTGGTGTCACACACCCTTAGCCACACACAAGGAAGTTATCAACCGGCTTTGGAAAATCCCAAGGCTTGCAGAAGTAGGAAAAAGAAACCTAAAAGAGAAGTGGGCAAAGCACTTCAGTGAAGAATGGCCATGCTCAGTAGCACAAAATCTTGCCACCTGTTGTGGAATGAGGAAGGTGGGCCGAGAAATGGAATAGGGTATCTTGGAGGAGAGCATTACTAGCTGCTGACCTGAAACTGGAATACTCCACACTGTAACATCTCATTGTTGGTCCTACTTGTTAACTTCACTATGATAGCTGAGTACAACTCTTATGTCCATTTGTTGCATCTTCTGCAAGCCAATTGTTCGGGGCGGACAAAGAGACAGGGCTGATGCCTCAAGGTCTTTCTAGATGATTTCCAAGAAGTGTCTGGCTGTTGGAAAGAGAATATTTCAGCAGAGTTCTTCAAACCTGATGAATATAGCATCCACTGTGCTTATGGTGTTCCATATCCATAACTGGTACTCAGCACCATGGCAACAACTTACTACACTAGCATGCTTAAGTTTGCATAGACCTTCTAATCACCTTTTCTTCATGTTTATAGCCCTGGATGTGCTCCATCGGGTAGACAAGAAAAGCTTCTCTGTTCATGGTGGGGGCATCAATGCTCCTTTCAATCTGGCACAGCCAATGAGACAATGAAGGGAAATTTGCAATGGTCTTTGATGCAGCTTGGTAAATCAAAGATACCATATATATTTGTGTACATGTACGTGCACCCTTTAACTTCCACTTGTTTTAGACAAAGCAAATTATACATTTATCTGATATATTGATTTAAAATTCATTAAAAGCCTTTGGCTTAGTGTATTTCTCTCTTTAAAATATTTCAAGCTTTTTGTTACTAAAATTAAGCAAAGGAAACAGGTGATACAGACATGTAAAAATCTATCATATTAAGGAAAAATACTGACTCAATAATTCCCATGGAATATACAGTTCAGGCATCACATTACTATCAAGCATCCCTGAATTAACCTATTATCGGGAGGGTCAGATTCTCCTGATGATGGTTACATTCCAAATTCTGGAGAACGGAAATAGTCAATGAATGTAGAACAACATTTTCCTCTTGTAAGAAGGTAAAGATTGTCTTACTGTGATCAACAGATTGGTTAAAAGTTCAGTATTATCTTTTTTTCTTCACTGAATCACTGGATTATTGTTAGAAGGAATAATAGATGTGTCCATAAGGCCTGCAAAAGTTAGAGAGTGTATAGTCTCGAGTTCCATTATATTATAGGTTAATTCACTATAGTAAAGATAGGCAATCAGTTGCAGATCTTTCCTTCAATTTCTATTTCTTTAAAGCTATGAGCATCAAACTCTGGTGTCTGCATCCACTTGGAACGGATGCAGATCCATGGAATAGGACTGTTTGATGCAGCAAGTCTGCTAAAGATAGCTAATATATCTCCTTTGTAATAAACACTTTGATAGTACAACTCCAAGACCAACAAGATGAAAAGAGGTCAGAGGATCTTCCTACATATGTGTCACTCCTCTGACTGGTGAAACCAAAACTCAGTTCTTGATAGTTTCCAAGAAAAGGAAAGTTGCTGTCTTCTGCAGGTTTCAACTTTAGCTGTGCAAAGCTCGAAAGCAGGAAAGTGGATGAATCACAGTAGCACTACTGATTGTCTAGCTTAATTGACTGTACTTTAATGGCAACTCACTTTTTTCACTCTAATTCCTTTGTAAAATAGGGATTTTGGACTAATAAACCAACAGTATGCTGCTAACTTATAATTAATGGCTTTCACAGCTACAGTGTTCTTAGAGTTCTGGAAAAGACGAAGAGCTGTACTAACTTATGACTGGGATCTCATAGACTGGGAGGATGAAGAGGTAAGAAATGAAAGAAATAATTTGTAGCAACAGTGTTGATATCAGCATTCATTAAATTTTAAAATTCCCAGGAAATTTGAGGGTTTTTCTGCTTTAGTTGCAGTTTGGTAAGAACTGGGCTCAAGTAGATTTCATTTGAACCTAATGTGCATACATGAAAATACACACCTAGAACCAAGAATGTAGTTTCCATCTGTTAGGCAATATCACTTTTTCTCATACATGGCATTCAGTCAGAACAGTGTAAACCTTCATTGCTATGACAAACAGTGAGAGCGTTAGACCATGCTTTAAAGCATCACTGTGAAGAAACAACTTGTACTGAAATCATTGAAACCCACTTCCCTCATAGTGAAGGAAGTTAGGATATATGGGGTGATAATATATGAATCTTGCAAATACATACATAATGACTACTTGCTCAGATTCTGATTCAGGAGCAGTGCCAAAAGTATGCATGTTTGGACATCTGTCACAAGCCCACACTGCAGCCCCTGCTAAGATGCAGGTCCTTGCAGTGCCCCATAGCAAGAGGCTCCCGAGTTTGCTTCTCCTTTTCACCACCACAACCTGCTTGTTCATGTGCCTCTTGCTCTGGCCCAGACAATGCCGGTGGTGAGAAGGTATCCTCAGTGCCTACTTGATCACTGGCTCTTTGCCTGTCAAGCAAGTGACTGGTAGCAAGGATGATGCCAACTGGTGCACTTGTTAAGAGGAAGACGGTGGTTCCAGTTAAGGGAACGGTGCCACTTTAATTGTGTGCATGAAGCAAAAGACTGTCGGCTAAGTTCATTTGTGTAAAAAATGAATTTCTGGATGGGGATGATTGCAATGGTACCTTCTGGCCCAGCCCTAACCATGACATATTCTAAGTTGCCATTTGAACAGAGCCTGACTCTGTGTACATGCCACCTGTGCACAATCCATGTACAATCTGGGACACCTCCATTTACAAAGTGCAAGATCATGAGCTCAGCATGCTACAGAGTTGAATACATTCAGATGTACATGCCCAAGATCTTTCAGAATATCACTTCCACATGTGGGGAAGTCAGGAGTATACCAAGTATAACTATACTTGACTCCCACATGAAAACACATGCATTCATTTCTATGCATCAGAAGGGGATATAATGCTCGGAAATAGCATGTACAGTTTTTCTGAAAGGGGACAGGGCCAAATCACCCCACGGCTACTAGTATTCAGTTGGTCATCCAAAAACCTAACACATTTTTTAATCCTACCCTTTTATCTTCAGAATTAACTGATACAGTACAGTCTTTGAGTATTAAATTCAAACATATGTCATCTTATTATAAAGTATATGAACTATGTCAATGAGAAAGATACTCTGCCACTAATAACAAATCATGCCAGATTCTCATTCACCCCAGGCATAAACTGAAAGAAGTCTTTGTAATTGCAGGAAGAGCTTCGACCCCAGTTTGAAGCAAAATATTCCCAAGTGGAGAGAGTCAACCCTATCACAGGAAAGCCTGAACCTTTTCAGCCCTTCCCTGATAAACTTAGCCGGCTGATGGTTTCAGTGTCAGGAATCTTCTTCATGGTAAAGTCTTTTCGTAAAGGTTGCGTAATCTACTTCCTAACAGCTTGTACTTTTGCATTTTTCCCAGTTGTTCATTATTAGTGATGCTTCAAATACATATGCACTATTTTATCTGTCTGCAGATTTCATTGGTACTTACGGCAGTGTTTGCAGTCGTGGTCTATCGCCTGGTGGCTATGGAGCAGTTTGCATCTTTCCAGTGGTATTTCATCAAAAAGTATTGGCAGTTTGCAACATCAGGCACCGGAGTCTGCATCAACTTTATGATCATCATGTCACTTAATGTTGTAAGTGCCCAAGCTTTATTCACTTCTCAGGATAGGCAGGGAATATCTAAAATGTAGCATCAGTGTACTCTTTTTTATTGTTTAGGGCATCCGCCTGATACGATCTGAATGAATTTCAGTTAAAGCAATTCTAGTTTACAATCCAGTATTGTTTATATCCTGAATCACTTCTTGTGCAGCTTCCCTTGTGCAGCTTCTTGTTTATACTACTCCAATAACACTAATTACATTATGGAAACTGGTGGCAATGCGAAAGCAATATCTGAAGTCAGTGTTGTCATCAGTCACCATGTCAGTCTAGGAAGAGGAGTGGCTTCAAATTCCCACTCTATCAGGAAACATACTTAATAAACTGGGATCTCTCCCTGCTTCACAAAGTTATGGTGGGTAGAACTTTCTACACTCTCCAGAGCTCCTTGAAATAAGAAAAATGCAATAAGCAAACAACAGATCCTGTCTGAGCAAATGGTAGCTGCCAAAGAATTTCATCATTAATAACAGATGGTCTGATCCCATCCTGGCTGCAGTGACCTTTCAGGGCATTGTGTGTGACAGAGCAGCTGCAATAGATTCTACACACATGTGTGTGTGCATGCACACATGCATGTACTTCCACAGGGTTGCTGAGTCATTTAATAGTTTAAGGTATGATTCAGCCAGGACTAAAGCATCTTCTGTTCTGTTGAATCCGAAGGTAAAGTTAAGCACATTCCTACATCTCAGTTATTGATACAAAGGGACTTAAAAGGCTTCTTTTTTTGATGAACTACATTTTTACAAAGAAATGCTGGCACCTGACCATTTTTTCCCCTCTATACCTGCATGTATTAAAGTAATATCAAGAAGACTCCGGGTCCAATGACATATTACATTCAGGCTACTCCTTAGCTTTTTTCCACTAGAGTAAGTGTGTAACCTCAGTTCTTTTTTTTCCAGATGTTCTTTATTTGTGATGTGCTTATTGTTTCATATAGATACATGCTATTGTATCAGCCTGAATGTTTCATTAGTACTCCTCAGTGTTTGTAGTCATAGTCTATCAGAGAGGCATTAACAAGCACAAGGAGGAGAGAATAAATGCCTCCCCATGCCCAGGTCTTTGCTTTCTGAAATTTCACTTAAACTTTTTTTGATTGATTGATTGATTGATTGATTTATAACCCCATTAGCCACACTGCTCCCAAATGGGGTTAAGAAAGAAAGCCCTTCACTTGATAGTAATAGAGGCTTCTCCCTTTCTAAAAATCCTTGTGTGGTAGAGATTTCAGAACATAAACAGCTCGAAGATAAGGGTTAATAACTTCTTTCTGAGGTGTGCACACTTGTTTTAGAGTAAAAAAGAAAAAGGGAGTGCTCTGATGCTACGTAATCAGAGTAGCGTGTGGTTGGGCTCTGTGTTTATTTGATCAGATAGGAAAGGAATATTTCTTTGTTTGTTTGTTACATTTTATACCACCCCATAGTCCATGGAGCAGTTTGCAGAATAAGGAAAATATAAAACAGGAATAAAAATAGTTCAGATATTAAAATCAATTTAAACCAAATAAGACACATGGCAACCCATGGAAATAAATGCACTGCAAAGCAGTTCCCATAAGAACAGTATAAAAACTATTTAACTATTAAAATGTCTTTAAAATGCCTCTTTGCCTAGCGTCTGAAAGCAAGCAATGACTGTGCCAGGCACATCTCCGGTGATAGGCCTTGTATAATTGAATGAGTGCAAAGCTGATAAATCTTAGATTAAATGTTAACATGGAGAAATGCAATTTTCTTCCAAGATACGAAATTAAGGTTCCTGTGTTCTATATTTGTGCAAAAGGGGTTGGTCCATATGAAGTTTTCTCACAGTATGCCAGAATGCTGGCACTTCTAGACAAGTATTCTTTGCTTGCATAAGGTAGTAACTATCTGGATCCTCAAAGAAGCAGCAAGGGACAGAGCAGCAAGTTTCATTCATAAGACCACCCTCCCCCTTCATTTTAAAATAATTCTGCAAACATTTTCACATTTAAATACATCTAGAAATACAAATCTTTGGAAATACTCCTGTGCTATAGGTAAGGGAGTAATATGTTTAGTTTGCTTTGCAATGCAAAGTTACCTAGGTTGGCACAGTGGTAACTTGATATTGATACTGAACCACTGTGCAAATTGAAATTCAGTTATCCTTCCAAACTTGCATGTCTCCAATTTTTGCAATGGAGTTTTCAAATCAGAAAATATCTAAAGAAATGTGGATATTAAGCAAAGTAATGTTCAAGAATGCAGTATTTATCTTAGACAAACATGCATGCATTAGGAGGAATGTGCACAAAAAGCTTTTGAATTTTCACATCGAACATTAACAAAAATTCCAAAAGGTCAGACTGAACTGAGCTTATGTCTGGATAGGTTTCAGAGTTCAAGGCAAAGCATCCAAATCATTTGCACAGAATAAATTTTTCTTAAGAACATTTCTCTTAAAGTATACATTTCTAAACATTATTTATCCTCAAATGCATATTACATTGATTTTGCAAGGTGATAACATCACTGCAACATTGAGAGAAGTGTGAAATATAAAGGTTCCAATCTGCACATTAGTCTAGGAGGTGCAGATCAGGTTGCCTTTGCCTTTGAAATGCATGCCAAGTGAAACCCACAAGCAGCTCTAGGCTCTTTTTGAGCTTCTGCCACCTGAAATCCTTTCCACTGAAGATTTGATCTAAAGATTCGATCTAGGACTGTTTTCCTTTTATGGGTGCACTGAATCATTGAACTACAAGGGAGGAACCTGGCCAGTATAATGCTGCTCTAAATGCAGACATTTGTGGTTATTTTCTCCGTTTTTCTCAGCAATTTACGAAGGGCAGACCTTTGAGGAAGATTTCTTCAGCATTGTGGCACCACAGAAGCACTTGTGCCTGAGTCTTTACACAGATTTCTACCAAAAAATAAAGCATCAAGCCAATATATTTGTTTATGTGCATTCCAGTTTCTTCTTTCTAATTTTATGGAAAAGTAAATTTAACAGAGGAAACAATTCAGTGAGCCAACATTACTTCCTTCATGCTCAGGACCTGAGTGGGTTTGTACAGAAGGAGGCTGGCCTCAAGAAACCCTACAGTCCCAAGCCATTACTTGTGACCTTCAGTGCTTAGGCAAATAACTCAAGGCTCTCCACTGTTGCATTGTCTATATCTATTTAAAAAATGAATCTTTCTTCAAATGCTTTTGTGGCAAACTTTATCTGCTATGACATTAGGATGATAAGATTACTAAGGGACATTGCAAAGTTGTGTTAGCAACTTCCTTGTTTAAGCTTCTGTGTACTGGAGACACAAACTTTTAGCATCCTGCCTACTGTTACTAGTGTTATTTTGAAGTGCCATATCTGGAGCATGACAAGTAAAGGCTTGTTTGCAAGAATGTCTAAACTCTTCCAAACATGAGCAAGCTCCAGGAAATGAATATCAGATTTAAATCTGGCCATGTCTTAAAGCAGAAACTCCTGTTAGAAGAATGGGTGTGGATGTTAATTTCATTATGATATACTTATCTTGATATGCACATATAAAACTAGAAATTCTGGTCTCATAATCTTTTCACCTCTCTAGGAATAGTTATTCCACCTAGCATCTTAAATAAAGCACTCAGTGCCAAAACAATATTTGTGATTTTGTTGAGTAGCTAGGTCACATACTGCTTGCCATACAGAGAAAGAGAGCTACTATTCTCTTGTCCCATGGAAAGCAGTGACTTAGTTTCAACATGTTTTTCCCTCACCTGTTCTAGTTTCAAATATTTACTCCTAGGCTGGGGCCTGTACACATGGCACTAGGTTCTTCTTCCAAAGCAGTAATATATAGCATAACTTTAATTTTTCAAATATAAAAAACTAATGACTGAAACTGTTTATTGACACATACCTTAAAATTCATGTTTAATGGTGCGAACAAGTCAGCATGGGTAGAGAATGGATTGCCAGTTTTGGACTTCAACTCCCAGAAGCCCCTGCTAGCTAAATCTGTGGTCAGGAACGCTGGCCTTTGAAGTTCAAAAGACCTGGTGATCTGTCTTTTGCCTATCACTCCCATACATGTCTATTCAGAAGGAAGTCCCATTGTTCAATGAAACATACTCCCAAGTAAACAATTGCAGGACTGAAGCACTGGTTTTCAAAATGGGACTTTCTTCTGAGCAGGTATGAATAGGATAGCAATGGAAGTAGTGGAGTCATACTGAGTTCAGAGGGACACACATAAGGTAAGTGGGCATAGGCTTGCAACTTTAAAGTACATCATCTTAGCATGTCAGACTAAACCAGAATTTTGGTTCATCATGGCACCCTAGGGAGTATTTCCTAGAAGGGAGGGCAGATAAGAACAAATAATCCACAGCTAACACGCTAGCCTGACCTCAAATACAGTAATCAAAGGGACAGTGGAAACTGGTTCTAGCCACCATGAAAGTTGCAAATGTGCAGGGAGGAAGAACATGGCAAGCCTGTGTGAATCTCGAGCAGATAAGAAATAGACATGGGAAATGTCCGGTCCTTGACTGAAGAAAGGACTCTTTCTCCAGCATGGGAGGGGGTGAATACATTGATGTATTGCATGTGTATTAGGTGACCTAATTGGTTACCTAGGGTATAAAACGCAAGTACTGGGGTGCAACTTTTGAGACACTGCTTTGGGCTGAAAGTGCCCTTTTGTCTCCCTTTATTCTATAGTACACTAGAATAAAGCTTCTTTTGGCTCTAAGTCTCATCTCAGGCTCTGTTTGGCTTTGGGTCTGGGGTCCACCTAGGGTTTGCCCCAGCTGTTGACTGGCACAGTCCGGTAACATGTAAGACTAAACCAGAGTTTTGGTTCATTATGGCACCCTAGGGCATATTTCAAGGCTGCTTTCACTTGGGTGCTCCTGCAGGTGTTTACATTTTAAACATTTCCATAAGAGCACTTGGAGTGGAGATGCATTTTAATCTAGTGTACTGGCACACGTGCATGTGTCATTTTCTTGCAACAATTCTAGAACATTTAGCCATGCATCTTGATGTTTAAAGTTGTAGTTTATAAACATAGTGTCTATTTATTTCTATTCCAGGTATACGAAAAAGTTGCCTATCTCCTAACAGATTTAGGTGAGTGATGGTTTTACTGCTTTCTGCACTGCTGTGAGTTTTCATGTGGCAGTATCTGATAAAATGTCAAACAACGCAGATAACATCATAAATGCAGTCAGTATCTGATGAGCCTGAAAGAAAACTGGCTGTATAAAAGGAAGCATATGTTCTACACTTGTCATTGCAAGAGATGCATTAAATCCTGAGGCCTCATAAAATGATAATTCATAAAATGATGAATTAGCAGTAACACATGCATAAAGCTTCCAGTGTATCAGCAATGTGACTGTACTCTCAGAAGAAACATTATCTCGGGTTTTCTTTTTAATTTAGCTCCATTTCTTTGAAAATGGAATGTTATAAATAATTTGGTAATATGTACATCTTTCTGTACCACCTGGATTGAATTAAATCTCCATATACAAAAAGAAAAGAAAACCCCTATAGAATACTCTCCTTATAAGCAAAATGAGCCCAGAAATTCCGTCTGTTTTGAAATGTTACACTTCATTCCACCATACATACTCAGCTGTTTTCCTCACCTTGATGTATTTGCTTTCCTTGACTCATATAATCTTTTATCCCTTTCAGTGAATACCAACAGAAATGATAGAATATTAGCCTCTTTGTGCATTCTGTCCATTTATTGCAAAATTCAGGAAGTGGCAGCTGAGGTGAATGAAGAAGGAAGTCTGCCTAAATCTATTGTTGCTAGGGAAGTCCTTTCCCTACGTTTTGGTTCATGAGATGTTTCAAAAGGTGCAGCTGGTGTGTTCCCATCCTGCCTTTCTCCATTCAAACCACAGTTCTTGTCAGGAGGAAAAAAGGTTGTTTATCAGGTTAACAGAGGCATTCATAGGATTTCAAGAGTGGACTGAATCAAGGGATCCGCCCCAAGGCTTTGTTGCGATGGGGGCGGCATGAAAATGTTTTAAATAAATAAAATAAATCCATCCATTAAGATGGTTACATCATCTTATGGCAGAACATTTTAAGATCCGGTTATACTTGCCTGAATCAGAATGCCTAAAGTTATCTGTCCTTATTTGCTTTAACCTTTCTTTCAAAGCACTTTGCTTTGGTGCCACAGGGAACTAAAAACAAAAAGAAAGAGTCTTTCTTTTTGTTTTTAGTTCACATCATTCAGGGTCAACAACACCACCACCAGCATCTGCCCCATAAAATCCTGTTGACTTCAGTTGTAATGGATTTGGAATTATCTTTTTTATTTTAATATGACTTCTGTTCCTTGCAGGCAGTATGTTATGACTCTATGCAGTAGTGAGTGTCTAGATACAAAGGCCTTTGTATATTTCATGATCTGGGAAAGTAGTCAAGCAAAAGGGGCTGTAAACAAAATCTAGGAGGGTGATAATGCTAGGAGCCAGTACTGAATAAAGAAATGGATGTGTATCTGAAGCCAAAAATCAACATGGCAATCTACTCATTTTTAATGGCTCTCAGAAATAGACATTGAAGACAGAAAAATAGACCAATTCGGGACAGTGTAGCTTGAAGCAATTGCTTTGTTTTCTTCCAGTTAAAGCAGAAGAAAAAATATGGAGGTATGTGAAAGGGCAGGTTTTGTTTCACTTGGCAGTTAGTCAGCTTGACATTTACTATTAACACCTCAGTGTTAGACATTATTAATAAAAAAGAGCATAAAGGTGGAAAAGCAATCTCTCAAATCCATCTAATACACAGCTACATGAACCAGGCTTCATTGAAGAGGATGTGGCAGATCTTTCTAATGAGATTGCACCCAAGCTCTCAATCTTTGAAGCAAATATGCTGAAAGAATTGTCATTATTTCTTTTAATGATGGATTTATGCTGTTTTGTTATACAAAACACTCTCATTCTGAGCAATTATGAATAGGTCAAGTTAGAAATCAAAAGGAACACATCACCTTGTGTTCTTTTCTCTCCACTTATATACCTGGATGAAATTTCAACAGTACATGCTTCTCTCTCAGGTGGAGTGTCAAGGTATAAATGGCAGCCAGATTAAATTTAATTTCCTTTGCAAATTTATTATAGTTATTTATATGTTCATCTCTGATCTGCTTTTTGGAAACTATGTTTAATGTGTACTTTGTTGGATTCATTGATTGGCATGTTTTTTATAGAACATCCTAGAACAGACTCAGAGTGGGAAAACAGCTTTGCCTTGAAAATGTTTCTCTTCCAGTTTGTCAACTTAAACAGTTCTATTTTCTACATTGCCTTTTTCCTTGGAAGGTAAGTTAATGTGAAATCAGGAAAGCACAACAATAGCATATGATAGTTTCATGATAGTTGGTTTGGTTTGTTGATAAAAGATGTTTCTGGTTTTTCAGTTTAGACTAGAAAGAAAAGGCATAAGACAGTAAAGGACATTTGACACCCAATGCCTAAGGGCTCAGTCCTAAATTTGCCTGACATCAGTTGAGCAGCCATGAGATTTTTTAGGCTGCCAGATCTGATCCTGCAGCTTCTCAAGGCTTGGATTCTTGCTCACAGTCAGCATGGAAAGAAATCTGCCAGATGCATAAGCCCCGCAAGGTCACAAAAGGCCCTCAGGGGATTAAAGGGGAGCTCACCAGGAAACAAGACTGGAAGGAGGCTAGAGGTGCAAACTTATCCCAATTCCAGTAGGAAACCCAGTCTCTTTCTTCCCCCACCCACTGCCGTGCTAAACCTTGGAGGCTGAGACTATCTAAGAAAATGGCAGGGTGTGGACTGTGGTGGTTGCCAACCTCATCACTGCCTTCCCTCGGTCCTGCCATGGGATGCTTGTTTGCCTCCACGCTAACTGCAGCAGGGCGATAGGATGGTGCTGTACATGCATTCAGAGCTACTCCTCAAATAAGGTGCATGTATGAAAAGACCATTTATGTACATTGATAGGAACTGTAGGTGCAGGCACGTATATTTCAAATATATGCACATGATTGTGAATTTCTAGCCACGTGTTCACCCTTCTTACATGAACTGAAAAATGAACAGCTGTAAGCTCATCCCTACACAGACATCTGTAGGAAATTATCATGTAAGAATGCGTGTTGTAATGAGTGAACATTTTGCCTCTAACTGCTGATTCCTATTGGTACCATTATTCATATTCTGTGTTGCACTCAGTGTCCTTACGCACATTTCCCCCCATTGACATTTAATCTGATCAGCTCTGAGACCCCTGAAACCTGTGCTTTTATTTATGGACTTCCTGGATATTGTTGCATCAAGCATGTCACTGCAACATCATTAAGAAAAAAAATTAAACATCATAGGTTTGTACTGAAGCATGCATGTATTTTCAGCATACATCAGCATGAATACTAAGCTAGGTAAATGTTTATTCTCTATGGAGTTAACTCAAACCACTTTGAGTTTTGTTTTGTTTTTTGGTGGGTTGTTTGTTTTAAAGGCAGGAAAGTGTTGGAGTTATTTTTTCCCATCATTTCCATTCAACTGAGAAACTGAAATCTCATTTTACAGGTTTGCTGGACGTCCTGGAAAGTACAACAAACTTTTTAACAGATGGAGATTAGAAGAGGTAACCATCTTTCCTCCTCACACCAGCATGTTTTCAAGCTACAAAATCACCATAGTTTTAATATTTACTTGCTTCTCTTTCATGTCTGGGGTCCAAATAATTCTATTTTAATTCTATATGTCTCAGGCTTGTTAGATAACTTTACATGCTGTAATAAAGATAAATGATCCATGGATTGCTTTTAAACATATCATCAATAGGCACTAAATTATTTTCTCAAGTAATTGAAAGGTTAAATATCCATGTGTCCATTAATGCTTCTTCCTTCAGTGTCATCCTAGTGGCTGCTTGATAGACCTCTGCCTGCAGATGGGTGTTATAATGGTTTTAAAACAAATGTGGAATAACTTCATGGAGCTTGGCTATCCGTAAGTATACTAGGCGGTATCATTTATGTATTTGTGTGTGTGCGTGTGCGCGTGCCTGTATGCATGCATGTATAGTATACTTTTAGCTGATTGGGTTCTTCAGCAATTGGTTCTTTCTGAATTCTGATGCTGTCTAACCAGTCTCACATCCCCCAGACTAATGTTGACTGGAATACTTTTCTTCAAATGTTATGATACAGTTTTTGGCTAAAAAATGTCCTTAGAAGCATATAAAAATGTATATCTTATATATAATAAATGTATGTATTCACACTTAGAGAAAATGTTTAGAAATTCATATTTTGTGAAATAAGTTATTTAAAATGCATACATTTAAATAGATCTATATTTATAGATCTATATATTTAAATAGATCTTTTGTGCAATTTTTAAAATATGTCAGATTAATGCAGAAACAAGACAGAATAGATTTATAGATGATCATATATAAATGATATATGTGAGCTTAAGTGTACTCCGGGTGATGGTGGAGGACAGGAAGGCCTGGAGGAATGTTGTCCATGGGGTCGTGATGGGTCAGACACGAATTTGCGACTAACAACAACAACAACATATATACACACACACACACACACACCACTGTAGCTAGAATAATGGAAAACTTTAATTCTAGTTTGACCTTTTTACCTAATGGGTAGGCAATATCATTTTAATCAGAGATACCAATGCAAAAAGAGTGCTTGAAAAACTTGGATTTCTGTCCAGGGCAAGAATTTCCCATATACATTGATATAGTGCTATATTCCAAAACCCAGCACAGACACTAGTTCTACCCGTTTTTTGGTAGGAACTTATTTCTGTTGTATTTGCTCAGTCTTGCGTGATTATGTGGATGCAAGGAAAAATACCAAGTGTGTTTTCAAGGGCCATCAGAATGATCAAAACTTCATCACACCTAGGGCAATAGGACATGGGAATAGTCACATTTAGAGTAGACCTAATGAAAGTGAGTGGGATTCAGCGTGAATAGTTCAGTCAAAACCTGTTCACCGCAGTGGATCTCTAAGAAAAACTAGCATTGCCAAAAATGCAGAGAGACCCCTCCATTATGAGAAATATGCTCACAAGGAATGTGAAAAATCCTTCTGAGCAGGACAGTGATGAATGAACACATTATAAAAAATTATTAAATAGTCACTTAAACATTAAATTCTAGATTTCATGCTTGGCTGTCTAATATAGGTTACTACAGAACTGGTGGTCACGACGGAAGATCAAGAAAGGGGGGCAGTTACTGGAGCATAAAATTTCTCTACCTCAGTGGGAAAAAGATTGGAATTTACAGCCCATGAACCTCCATGGTCTGATGGATGAATACTTAGAAATGGGTGAGCATATATACGGAGATGCGTAATGGAAGCCGGCAGCTCTGTTTAGTGCCATACAGTTTCTTTCTTCCTTATTTGAAGAGATGGTTCCCCACCTTCTAATCATATGAACTTTCTTCTAGTTTTACAGTTTGGCTTCACCACGATCTTTGTTGCTGCTTTTCCGCTAGCACCTCTGCTGGCATTGCTTAACAATATCATAGAAATCAGACTTGATGCTTATAAATTTGTTACCCAATGGAGGCGGCCCATGCCTGCAAGAGCAACTGATATAGGTGAGTTTGTAAAATGTTTTACAAACATTTTAACCATACTGTTTACCTTTGGGCTTTTTTCTTTATTAAGATACTTTTACAGATATTAGACTGTTTAGCTGAAATGTTTTATCATGACAAAAGGGCCTGACAACCACTGACATGGATTAATTCATTTTATTTTTAACTATTTTTTTTATTATTTTTATTTATTAAAACATTTTTATGCCGCCCCATTCGCCGGCTACTTATTAAAAGATTCTTCAAACAGTTTTACAAATGATTGTTAAATGGAAATGGGAACAATTTAAAAAGCTGAATTCAGAAACATTTTAAATCAAAAGTTGTTTAACTTTTTGTTAAAGATTCAACAAAATGGGTTGTTTTATTTTTAATGATGTGTATATCATCACTAAAATGATTACACAAGCATATTTTTCTGCTTGGGTAGCCAAAAGCTCATTATTGTCTGAAAGTGTAACTATAAGTAAAAAACATGTGGCTTGAAAACTACCCCACCCATCCACCACCCCACGTATTCCTGGGAACTGATTCCATGAACAGTTAAGGAAACCCTGAAGTAGTGCTTGTATTTATTATTCTTTTCCGTCTGCATCCTTATATCCTTTTGTACAGCGTCTGTTAAAATATAAACCTGCTGGCAGGGGCATTATTTTTCAACAATTTGTCTTTATACCATGTCAAGAAAGGAACAGCTCCTTTATGAATTAATGAATTAATAAATAATCCAGGTTCAGTCCAGGAGATGCCTTCCATAAAAAAAGACATTTCATATGAGGGAAAGGGTCCCATGTGTGCAATATCCCTCCACTCAGTTTTATGGGATTCCCTTGCTCCACCCCTGCCACACACACAGACACCCCATTCAGCAGGAACTCCTGACTCTGTGTAACATTTCTGGGGGACAGGAAATCTGCCATGGAAGGACATGTGAGGAAGTCAGAGCTGTTGACCTAGAGTACATTTGGATCCAACTTGCTAAGAAATACTTCTCAGGGCTGAAATGGTGGATTCTTCAGGGGCAAACCTGCACTGCAGATGGAAAATAGGGCTGCCCTCCTTATCACACACCCCCTGTTGTGGAACGAATGAGTTCCACAGAGGCAGGAACATGGACTTGTTGAATAGCGGCAATTCAACCAATTTAAGCACAGTTACTTGGACATTGGTTCCATTAGACAAAGTGGTGCCTTTCTTGGAGGAGGGGTATAAAATTGGGCTGCATGCCTGGTCTAGGTATTTCTGATATTAATGCTAATTGATAGTAGCTTACATCTTTTTGCCTTAAAAATATATCAAGTTCATATAAAAATTGAAATGTTTACTTTTATGAATTTGGTTTAAGAGAAAATGGTAAGGATCTAGTTTATTGGTATAATAGCATGTTGTTCCTAAGACAAGTCTTACTGATTTCAACAGAATTCAGTTTCAAGAAAATATGCCTGGGGTTGCAGCATTACATTAAGGTGCAAAAAATATTCATTGATTTTTCATTCAATGAGCTTCATTGATTTTTGGTGAAACTGATAAATAAATTTACTTAAGGTTGCAGTATTGGACCACAGTTCTGCCCCTCTGCACATAAAAGGTGTGAAATAGGTTTTCATAGTAAATGCCTGTATAACCACAATTCAGTCCATTGCATTCAGCCCAGTAAACATCACCTGGTATGTGTCAAGCTGCCAAGCACAGCAAAACAAGATGTTGCACAAGCTCACTTCACCCATGCAATCCCCTCCCCAGAACTCCAATCTACTTCCCAACTGCTGGAGAAATTTTGGATGGATGGATCGAGGGCTGCAGGTGGTGTCGCATATCTATTCGACTAGCAGTATCTAGAATGGACCTGCACAAAAGCTTCTTTGGCAATGGATCCCAAACTGTATGAAATAAGCATCTTTATAGGATTTTCCAGGGTTGTATTTAGCCTCATTGTAATTATTCTCTCCTAGGAATCTGGTATGGAATCCTCGAAGGCATAGGAGTCCTGGCGGTCATCACCAATGCATTTGTCATTGCCATCACCTCAGACTATATCCCACGGTTTGTTTACGCATACAAATATGGCCCCTGTGTGGATCAAGGCTACAGACAAGAAAAGTAAGTATGACTTTTCTAAAATGCTGCTTTTGGGCTGATTTAGGAACATTTGCCTTTTGGCAGAAATTTGCAACTTTGTTGTTGCTGCTGCTGCTTTTCAGAATGTATTTATTTATTTCACAAAGTTTTAGCCTGATAAAGGACCTTCCAACAAAATTTCCAAAGCAGTGACCAGTATAACAATACTGTATAAGAGTAACATGCAACAGTAAAATAATCTAATCCCCACTAAGCAATCAAAGTATAATTTTAATTGTCTGTGTCCTACCTTAGGGAAATCTTTCATAAAGAAATGCATCCTTGGCTATAACTAGAAACAACAACTGTAGATTCCCATCTAATGCCAATGGGGAACACATTCCAGTATCTTATTTTTAAAAATATATTTGGAAGTTATATTATTCACATTTAAGAGGAAAATAAGACACAGTCATGCCATTGGTCTATTTCACCCAGTACTGCCAACACCAACTGGCAGTAGCTCTTCACCGTTCCAGGCAGGAGTCTTTTTGAGTTCTACCAGAGGATGTTGGAAACTGAACCTGGTGCTGTTTGCATACAGATCACATGCTCTACTATTGTACTTCCCTAATACGTGTTATGCTGTCTTCCTCAATGTGGCTTTGAAGGGTTGGAGGCTCTCCAGGGCAGAATGGGATGCAGCACAGACAGCTTCAATGAATAGGGATATCCCAAAAATGGGAAGCCTACCTTACCCTACACATCCTGCTAGGACAGTGCTACCCTTGGAGAGAGTGATTTGGTTGTTGTTGCTCACCTATGGAGCTTTCTTGTTCCAAGGTCTTTGTTAAACTGGAAGATGGGCCTGTCTTTCAAGCAAGAATTATCTTCATAGAAAGTGTATATGTTAGGGAAGAAGCTTTGCCGCATAACATAGCAGAAACTAGGCTGGCCACAGTGCCTGGTCTGATGTTCTGCGGTTATAACATAAAATATAGAAAAAGAATAATTTGAGGCCCTGAGCTCATATTCCATTGAAGACTTCAGCAGAATGTGGCATTTCCAACCACATTATCCATTCTTACATGCATTACTGAATATGATATGAAGAAATGGCTCAGCTAGATAAAAAATCATTTTATATTATGCTAGTAAAAGATGTTTCAGCATTTACTGTTTAGTAAAAACCATTCAACATTTTATCTGGACATATAAATCTGAACGTTTATATGTGTTCTTATTCCTTATTACAGTTACACATTTAATAGGTGGGTATGAGAGGACTGTTGCTTAATATAGAGAACTGCTGTCTTTCTGTCTATCTCTCTATTGCTGCATCATCCATAGCTATTCAACTTTCCATAGCCAGTCTCCCTCTTTTCTTGCAAAGTGCCCTGCATTATTTACAATGGGGAAATATAGAGAAGAGCTTGAGTCCTAAGCCTCAATCATGTCTTCATCGCATGAATTCCAATTTTCCATTAAAATGCCTTTTCTAACCAAAATCTTCTCTCCACCCTGATTAAAGATTATCATTGTTCATTGCATTCCCATTACAACGTCCAGCACAGCCTTTCCCAACCTGATATCCTCTAGATGGTTTGGGCCACAATTCTCAGCAGTCTTGACCATTGGCCATGTTAACTAATTGTCCAACTTATCTGACTGGAGATCACCAGTGAGAGGAAGGCTGATGAGACCTTTAAGCTGAAAATACTAAGTAAAGGAGATCAAAGTGTACTGTGAGAGATATCAGCTTCATATTATTTCTTTCACACGTGCCCCTTAATGATGCTTTGATAAATATACTCCAGAAAGCTGAAGTGTTCTCCTCTCCTTTTCTGGAGTGCTTACTTTTTCACAATTGTTTTCTGGCATTCATAGCCTGACCTGCTGTGAATGTTCTCAGACAGTTGAAGACTGTGTGCATATGATGAGGCTATGTTACCACTAAGCCAGGCAGGCTGTGACAAAGCAGAGTGCCTGCTTCAGCCTTCAGGGAGAACGTGCCCATCATTGCAGACTTCAAGGGGCTGAAATAGGGCGGATAGGCCCATCTGTGCCATGAAACATGCATCAAGTTCTTTAGACTCTTGTATGCACTGCTGGCACCATTAGGTATGGCATCATTAGCCCATCCTGATGTCATCCAGGACAGCTCCCAGGTTTCCTAACCAATGGACATGCTGGTAGGAATGATGGAAACTGAAACTTTGAACAGCACCAGATTAGGGAAGTGAGTTCTAGGGCTACAGGCATGCCTGGCCCAGTTTGGCATGAAATTGTGGGGAGGGGGAAAGAAACAGGTCAAAATGGAAGTTTCCATGTACTGTAGTCACTGAGTCTGTGATCAGTTATACCTGGACAGAATTCATATTTTCTGGCATACATTGGATGTTTTAGTGCATGGTGTTTTTTTAAGGATGTGTACATGCCAGACTCCAGTTGACAAAAGAAAGGGTAATCCCAGTTATTCCCATTCATCTTACTTTGTTATCAATGCTGACCGTTGCATCTATTAGCGAAGCGCTTGGACAAAAGAGCAGATACACATCTGTATTCATATGAGCCCCTCTGAAGCGGGACCACTTTGTCGGAATTCAGTCTAATGTGCCACTATTGCCGTTGAGCACCAGTGTTCACAAACAGAACCTGGCTGCATTCACTGCCCCTATTTCTGGTTCGCCATTGCAGAGCTGAAGGCACACTAGAGCAACCTTTCCCTCAGCACACTTTTGACTTCTCAAACAGAGGGCTACATTTTACACACACACACACACACACACACACACACCATTCTTCAAAGCATAAGCTTCATCTTACATACTCAAGGCTTTATAAGTTTCGTGTAGCATAAATCTTGCTCTCCCATTCGAAAAGGGAAGAACAGTTTGCCTCATCCATGAAAATATGACTGGCATGTCATAACAACTGCTGGCATGCCTTGGTAAGGGCAAGGAAGGTGAATGAGACATGCTTTGCATGCACAGCTCATTAGAAATGTATTATTCACTAAATATACGTATATATATTTACTGGGCTTTCTTTTTCTAGGTGTTTAAGGGGATATGTAAACAGTAGTTTATCAATATTTGATCTGAGTGAGCTTGGCATGGGATATTCTGGGTACTGCAGGTATGTATTGTGAGAATATCTTACTTAAATACAATGAAGAGATTATCTCCATAGTTTATGGAAGCTTCACGAAGTTGCTGGATGTGTGAATAGCTTTTTTATTGCTTTAATTAACAGAAATGTTATGCTCCAGATACGACAGAGACCATCTGCCCTGTGACTGAGAATGAGGTGTTGAAATTGCTCTAATGGACTTCTTTGGCATGAATTAATTCTATCTATCTATAACTTAAATGTGTTTGTATGTTTTGAACACTCACTCCCTAGTTTTGTATTCTCAAGTATAAAATAGAACAGAGGATAAATGTCAAAGCTCAACAGACCAGGACAAACACAACAGAAGCCTGAACCTCTTTCAAGCAGGGGGTTGGACTTTTGGCCTTACAAGCCTCTTCCAGCTCTGTGATTCTGTGATACCATGATTAGAAAGTCAGTGGCATAATAAAACAAAACTTCACAGGTAGATGTTACACTGGGTAAGTGCAGGAGGTTTGAGGAGTGCTTTTTTCCATTCCATGCCCACCTCCTGTGGGCACTCAAAAATGAATTTAAAGGGCAGGTGCCGAATGGCAGGGGAGTTCAATCCATTACTGGTACTTCTTTTGCATTGCGTTCCTATGCTGCCTTTTTTCCACATGGCGCCTTACCTAAGCCCTCCTCCATTCCATCGAATCCTCACAACAACAACCTGTGAGGTAGGTTTGGCTGAGAGTGAGCAACTGGCCCAAAGTCACCCAGGAAGCTCCATGGCTGAGTGGAACCCAGAACGGTTCTCCTAGGCCAGTGGTGGCAAAGCTATGGCACACGTGCCGCAGTGGACTTACAGCGCCTTCTCTATCGGCATGCAAGCCAAGTCGCCCCAGCATCACCCCAGCAGCTGAGTATCAGATAACAGCCCACACAGGGGCCATGCGCATGCTCGGAAGGGAGTAGTGGCACCAGGCGATGACATCATGAGCCATGACTCATTAGCTGCGACTCGTCTGAGCTTTCGCATGGCTGGTCAGTGCACTGCCAAGGATATATTTATATTTGCTTGGACTGGCTGTGAGTTGTTTTTTCTAAACTAAAACCTCAGTATTCAGGTTTTATTGCACTGTTGGCACTTTGTGATAAATAAGTGGGTTTTGGGTTGCAGTTTGAGCACTCAGCCTCTAAAAGGTTTGCCATCACTGTCCTAGGCCCAGCATTTGAACCACCACACCAGGTCTCTCTTGCTGTGGGATGAACACTGTTGGATACAACCTGCTATTTTTTTTTTCCAGGAAGCTTGCCAAAATATATTGACCAAGCCCACACACGACTCCAGGCAAAGCCAGAGAGCTTTCTTATACCCTTCCTTTTTTCCTTTTGCAGGTATCGAGATTACAGAGCACCACCATGGAGCCTAACTCCTTACGAGTTCACCTTGCAGTTTTGGCATGTTCTAGCAGCTCGACTGGCATTCATCATAGTGTTTGAGGTCAGTTGGGTTGAAGAGAGAAAATGGGGAAACATAGGACTGCTTTACATAAGAAGGATGCTCAAGCCTGTATTAACTGTTTAGCTGAACACAACTTAGTCTGGAGAAAAGCTTCCTCAGTGGTTTGAGCTGAACATTCAAGTGACTGAATCAGCCACCATTAATTCTTTGGTAGAAACATTTAGTTGAGGTTTTGCACATGGCTTATAGAAAAAAGAAAGGCAACCAATCCTAAGATGATAAACCCTCCAAGGAGCTGACTTGAGAGGGTTTTCAGACAGCAGGACCCAGTTTGGCCTTCCCTGATCAAAGAAAATTTCCTTCCTCTTAAATGGGGCACTTTGTGCCCCCAGAGCTCCCAGGTCCTAATCAAAAAGCACACAGGTACAATGCTCTCCCTGCTGTTATTTGGGAGCAGCAGAAGAAGAGTTGGCAGACTTGCTTTGAGCCACACCATTCTGGGGTTCTTCGCCACTTACAGAGGTCATCACTGAACTGTCTTACCAAGCCCCCATTTGCATGTTCGTGTGTTGACACAGGGAGTTACCAATATGTGATAGCATGGATACAGTGGGTTGGTTCCAGATCTTTCATATTAGGAGCAGGGAGATAACCCTTTGCAACAGAACTTCTGCATGGTGCTCTCCTCAAGTAGCCGTCCCTGTCTTCCCAGGAGGGTTCCCCAACCCTGAACAACAGATTGGAGGGTATGGCGGGGCAGCATGGAGTAGCAGAGGACACAGAAATTCTATTTCACAACTTGCATCCAATTAATAATCAAGTATAAGCCATCAGTGAAATGCTCCCAAAGGTTCTTATAGGAGAGATCCAAACAGGTCAAAACATGCATTTACAATATTTGCTCTCCCCCCTCTTTCTCTCTCTCTTTTTTTTTTTTTTTCAGCACCTTGTCTTTGGAATAAAATCTTTCATTGCCTACCTAATTCCAGACATGCCCAAAGACTTGTGTGACAGAATGAGAAGGGAGAAATATTTAGTTCAGGAAATGATGTATGAGGCTGAACTAGAGCATTTGCAGAGAGAACGGAAAAAGAACGGCAAACAGTATCACCACGAATGGCCTTAGTTGACCTGAAACAACAGTGACAATATCAGAACTGAAACTCCCAGCGCAAACTCAAAGAGGGACATGGAAATGAGGCAAGGAATTGAGCTGTGCGTATGTGCTACTGTTGTGAAATAAAATTATCAAGCTCTGTTGTAAACTGGAAAAATCATGTTACCAACAGACAAGCCAAACACCGATATTCCATTTCTGGTCTGTGCCAAAGACAATACAAAGGAATGAATGCTGGCTCAGCTGAAATCTCTAGAAGCAATGACTTTACTGAGCAACATTATGAAAAGATACAAGAATCTGAGAAAGCAATCCACTGCATAATCAAAAAAGAAAAACCTGTTGTCTGTAAAACTTTCGTAATAAGGGCATGACCTTTTTAAAAAAATGATGTGCTTATTCACTACTTCTACAGCTTTCAATTGCTCAGATAAATTTGTCTTGCCTATGGAAAAAAAGCAAGCAAGATTAACTGTTGCCTTTGCACCCATAAAATGATGCTCTAACAGTCTTTGAGGCTTCCCGTTTTGTCAGGTTTGTCCTAGTCTCTGGCTGAGATCGTGGATGTGACTATGCTCTGTAAAAGGGATGTCAGCCTGTTTGATATTTACTATGCAGTTCGATGTTTGCACATCATTTCTCATCTTCTTTGTCTTTACAATTCAGTGAGAAAAAATAAGGTCAATGTTTCTCTGAGGTCAATAAAATAACAATTCTATAGAAAGCGAATGGCTGGAATCCAGAGATCTCTTCCACATGAGGAAGCCAGTCCTGTATGTGGAACAAGACTTTCTCCCTCTCTCTCATGCAAGGATGTTGCACGCAGGAAATCACATTGCATCCAGAGAATCACAGTCCAGTGCAGAATACTGTTTCACAGAGCTAGCTGTCCACGTAGCTTAAAGTGTGTGCATCTGCTCATAGAACTGCATGAGTGGTGTATATATATATTTATTTATATATATTTGTGCTCACAGCACTTCGGATGCTGGCTTATGCCTTTGCACTGCCGTAGAGACAGCACTCTTTGGGGGTGGGAGAAGACAACATGGCTTTTTCTATTGTGATTGATATTCAATGTGCAAATAAAGGCCATTTCCTCCTACCTCTAAAACGAAAAGTCCTACCCATGCTCTGATGTAGCGTGTATAACCAAGTGGATATTGTCTTCTCTTTGAGCTACCTAGATTTTCTATATTTCACAGAAACGTCAACTTGGAATGTCTCGTTGCGTTGCAAATAAGAAGCCAGTTTTATTACTAACCTTATGCAAGTTCCTGTTTATGCAGCATATGAAAAGTTTAACATCATGACTTGCTTGTCCAAGGTATAAAGAGAGAGGAAACAGGGCTGTATCTAAAACAACTGGTTTAACCCTTAAAATCAAAGCAAGGGAATAGGTGTATTTGCTGTATTCCAGTAGTCCCTAATCAATATTCCCTAACTAAGCTTTCTTCGATAAGTTTGGCTAATTTTTTTTCCAAAAATATAATTGTACTATCCATGACTTGTACTTTGATTCTCATAGGTCTGCAACTGAAAGCAGTATCTCTCAAGTCATGATTATTCTACAGAAGAAGTATGACATATAATTCTTTATTACTAATTTCCTTTTTTTTTTCTCCAAAATGGGAAGAAATTAAGCACTAAACTAAAGCAAGTGGGCAGGATTCACTTGTACATGGGAGACCAAAATGATCCTGGTTTCCCTTTTGTAAAAATGTCAGGTGCAGAAATCTTTCTTATTTATATCAACCAAAGTAAATTTAAATCATTTTTCACTTTCCAGAATCCATATCATTCTATAACAAAGCACAGCAATGATATCAAATATATTTGCATGAACCTGAATGAATTCTGTGTTTTAAAAAAACTGAGTTACAGATACAATATTACAATACTTACAGGGACTATGCATTGCATTGCTCCATTCAAAACCATAACTGATCGATTACGATGCACATGCCATTATTCGAACTCTGCCGAATTTTTACTTGCTACATTTCTCTCATGTAATTCATGTTTTATATGATGACAATCTAGTTTATAATTTCACAGTTCCCTTTTATATATGCATCTATGAATGCCCCCAATCCACAAGTGGTTGCTTGTGCTGATAGAATTTCCAGTGCAGTGCAAGATGCACGGATTTTCCCATACATTTCAGTCAAGGGAGTTGCATGGCACATGGATATTCTGGTGCTGAGACCTACTTCTGAAATGAATGGAAAAGTCTGTCTGCACTCGAGCTGCACGGGTGCACAGAGTGTACATGAACCCCTGGATCAGGGGCATCAGTGACAAAGCACATCTTTTATTGGTGTGCTATAAAACATAGCTTTGCTATTGTTGTTTCGCTATTGCTGTTTACCTAAATGCTGATCGTCTTGGCTGGATCCAAGCTTTAGAACTGATGTAACATTTGTCAAGGAACAATGTTAGCTATAACTCTACTTGTGCTTTCCTCTGTTTGTCACAGTTAGATCTATACCTAGAAACATTCTGATTGATCACTTACAGTCCTACGTGTGACTACTCAGAAGTCCGTCTCTCTGAGTTCAGGTATAGGATTGTAGCCTAAGGGCACAGTCCAGTGAAAGGTTAGACAGAAATAACAGCCTGCAATTTGGAGCTGTAGGCCTTTTTCTGTCTAAACTTGCATAGGATTGTATCCTAAGGTTGAAATTTATCAGAGAATAACTCCCACTTAATGCAAAGAATGTTTATTTTTTCAGTAAACATTCCTAAGATTGTGCCATCTGGCTAAAGAAACACAGTGAAAGCATTATGATCCACTAAGGACTACAATTCTATCAATGGTCACCTGAGAGTAAGTCCCACTGAACACAATGGGACTAATTTCTGTGTCGACCTCAATAGGATTGCATTTTGAAGTGTAAACCTGCTTTCAATGTAAACATGATTAAAGTTTTAATCCGGGCTACAATATTAAATCCATTTGCTCCTAGCTATTTCCACTGAACAACTGGAAAGTCTAGTGGCTTCAGGTTTGCAGCCTTCTATTAAGCACAGGAAAAAATGAAGAAAAAAACTTTGCTTGTTTAAATCTAAATATGTATTAACAGTGGCTAAAGGTTTGCTGATTCATAGCCTTTTGCTTTAGCTGAGAGAAATGCTCTGCTAGGTTTGGTTTACTGTGGTTGCATTGAATGCAAATTATCTTACAAAGATATATGGCACACTCTTTTCTCAGGAAATATGTATTACATGAATGCTGGTTAAATATCCTTTTTTTGTTTTTTGTATTTCTAAATACTTTGTCTTTCCAAACAACTTATCAATATTAGCGGTATGTGCATGCAAGTTGCATTTGTGGATTCTCCAATGCTGCAGAAATGTCAGAACTAGCATCCATACAGCAACAACTTTAGATCATTGTGGATCTAGTCTATGATAACTTTGGTCTATGCATGTTCTTACAGACTGCATGAGCAGCTACAGTCTGGCTTTCAAAATACTACAGTTAGTTCAGAATGTTTTAACTATTACCAACTCAACTCGATGTCTTGATGCAATCAAAAGGAGCCTTGGCTCCAGAAATAAACATTTGTTTACTATTTGCTATTCTTATCTTTCCTCATTCTTTATTTGAAATTTGTACATAATTTACAACATCAAAAGGGATGGATGGTAGGATGGCCATTTATGCATCACCCTTTTTCAAAAAGAGTGGGCCTCTGCTCGTCGGTTTTATGGTTCTTTGACTTTGAACATACTTAGACTAGACTTTTCTTCAAATAATGTACATCTTTAAATAGGGAACTGACTTCTGCCAGCTCTCCAAACTAGGATACAGTCTGATCTGTTTGGCTGTGGAAAATTACACCAAAAAAAAAAAAAAAAAAACGAAATGCAAAGGCTGTTCTTGTACTAACTTTTCTAGGATTTTTTTCTCCAAAATAAAAGGATCAAATTTTAAACAAAGGACCACCATCTGAAACTTCAAAGCCTTCTACTAATAAAAGGTGGTGAAAGCAGATTTAAAAGCAAAATTAAATCTAGAGACAATCAAACCCTCACTTCTTGGTTTGCTGAACTAGCAAACGTTTCCTTTAAACAACAGTTCCTAGTTCATTTATACCAACTATCCAGTATTCCTTAACTTGTGCTCCTGGTCACTCAGGACCACTGTGCTTTAACCCTTTTGTGCTTACTTCTGGCTTAGCATCCCATATGACTCTGGTGCTGCTCCATCTGTTCATATGCCATCTGAAGCATTAGAGCTGTTTTGACATTGTAATGAAGTACATTATATGATGTGGCCCAAATTATGGGCCTATGGCAAAACTGCAGGGAAAGTCTTTATCAAACAGCATCAGGAGGCTAACAGCATGACTGCTTCACCAGAACCTGGTTGTACCTGTAGTGGTTGAACCTGCCTTCATTACAGTAGCATTTGCACAGAATTTGCAGGATGATTCTTTGTACATGTGGTTACAAATAGTCCTTGGCTCTGATTTGATAGATCAGCAGTCAAGCAGCCAGAGAGACCTTTTTAAAAAATCCCTCAACTTGACTGTTTAGAGACAAGGGTGCTGAATCCAGTCCCAGCTGTTGTCTGCAAGAGCTGGAATTGACCACTTTTTAAAAGCGCAGCCGTAGCTGCTGGTTAGGAAAGGAGAAACGCACAGCCTACTCACACACGTCAGTTACCAGCCTATTAGTAATTATAAGAGGGTGAATTTGATCTTGCAGAAGGGACTACAAAGCTATTGAGGCTCAACAATGTTGCATCACTCTACCAAACCAATGTTCTTTAAACTTGCCACAGGGAAGAGGGGAATAATTGTCTGTTTATACAACATCCATCAAGACTCCAGGGTTATTAATATATCAATAGTGATAGTGCCATCGTTGATACCAAAAAATTGGGTTGATTGTACCCCTCAAATAATAACTGGCAGTGCAGGAGGAGAAACATGTTTAGCATTAAGTTACAAATTCACATCACCATCTCTTACTGAAGTTAATGGGACTCAGGTATGAGTTACCAGGCTCAAGATTTCTGCACAAGGCATTTGCTGTGCACTCATTGTTCCCTGGTTGTTCATGGGTTCTTTAGTCAACATCATGATGCACAGAAGTGTTGCTTCCATATCTAGCTTGCACTTTTCCATGGGCAGGGAATGTACAGTTGTGAAGTTCAATTGAAAAACCAAAAGAAAGCACAATGTCTTCTTGTATATTTGCATTATTCCACAATCCCAATGTGGCAGATTATTTATAGCTAGTGGTTCTGTAGCAGAAAAGCAGTCAAGGAAACACTCCTTGTGGAATGGTATTCTGTGACAAAACCAAAAATAGATCCAGTGGATTAGCAGCCTCCTGTAGAAAAGCTCTCAGTCAGGAGGATCATGAGTTCAGGATGACTCACAATTATTCTTTCCCAGAAAGATGGCTCTACAGTTTTAGGTCTTCGTTGCCTGTGCCTCCTGCAGTGCACCCAAATTGCATTGAATGCCTTGCAAGGGGCAAAACCATGATTAGAGGGGATTTCCAAATCAATACTTTCATGTGTCATGTAGTATTGCATCAGGACTTTGATTCTAAAGAAGAATTTAGCGCACATATTACATTTTTCTGGATACAAATTTCTATAAAAAAAATTGAAGCTAGGAAGATTGCAGTAGTTAACCAGAAAATGAAATGCTCGAATTTGTGAGGTACAAAATGCTAAATATTATTCTGATGAAATGCGTGATTTCCATTTTCACTTTAAGATTACCTTCTCCTCTTCCAATTCAATGGTTCTCCTTAATTTTTAAAATTACACAGGATAATTATTTGAAAATTAAATGAGAAGGCCTTACATGAATAGTGTGTCATTAAGCTGTCATTTTAGATGCTATTTGCTTTCATAAAATTCATATGGATAAATGCAAACCAGCTCTTGCATCAGGCACACTTGAAGATTTCAGTAATGAAATCTACCTCCTTTAAGCAGATGTTCTGTTTATTCCAGAGTGCACGTTTTTCATCCCAGTCCTTCACGTTCCATATTGATACATCAGGCACTGCTTACTGTCAGCCACTCAGTCAATAGCAGCTAAAAAACCTGGCTGGAGTTGCAGGACCATGGATAGTTCCAAGCAGATGACTCTCTCCACAAGGTCCTTAGTTCAGTTGAGGCTTATTGTGTCTCTTTGACCACTATACCCAATTTCTAAGAGAAGAAAGACCAACTTCAAAAGGAGAGTTCTCCCTTTAAGCCCAGCACTACTTTTCAGCCAGCACATTACTTTCAGCCAGCATGTCTTGCACTTTACTTTCATTGCTAGAAGACTGTGCAGGGATGGGATGCCCCTACTATAAACGGTGCTGATATCACAGGGGAAACTGACTCAGGCAATGTTACCTCAGGAGATGCGTATTCAAGAGACTTCTGGCCAACAGGCTCTGGTTTAAGATTGTGTTTTATTCTGGGTCTGGATTCATAGTTTCCACAACATGTGCTGTTTGCCTTCCTGATTCAGCTGGTCCTTCCACTACTCACCATCCCATTCCAGAGTCCTGACTACCTGATGTCATGGCAGTATATTAACAGTGGGAAACACTGGTGTAAAACCAGTGTGCCATGGCACATACAGTTACTGTGTAAAGCAGCTGGGGAGAGAACCTGTATCATTGCAGTGTGAATTCTTACTGGGACTCAGAACATTTCCAGAAAGAACATGACACTGTTGAGCATTCCCAGTCAAGCATCTCAGAATATCACCCAACCAACCTGAACTAACCCATCCAGACTTTCTTCTAAACCAGCAATTGACAGTTGTTGCAAAAACTGTCAGTTTGGTTGCTTTTCATAGGACAGGAATGGAAGAAGAACGCAGAAAACTCGAGTTATATATAAGACAGTTCCTTCAGTACTTTATTTGGTAGCCCACAGAACATAGGGAGCTAAAACTGCTCCATGACATTGTGATATTGGAAAAGAAAGCTGTCATCTGCATCGCAGTGTGCATTTTTAAATTCCATGCTATTAGCAACTGGACTGTGAACAAGAGACTGGGACTTAAAAAAATATTGTTAAGTTTCACCACCACAGCAAGTTACACTGAATTCTTTTTCTTGTTATGAAATGAGTTCAGTAAATATTTTTTTAAATGACCCTCTAAAATTAGAAATAAATGTATCCTTGGTGAATTGTACTGCCAGCAATTTCCTTTTTGTAAAGTTGGGCTGAGGCTATGTAATTCCAATGGTTAGCTAGATGTCTTTCTTCTAAGCATGCTAAAAGTGAGATTCTGTCTCCATGCCTGGATTAGTGTAGGATTTCTCAGATGGGTTATAACCAGGTAAATGGCTCTGTATTGAGATACTCAGTCCATCCAGTCCATTCTTCTGGACATCACTTGCCTCTGCCTTCTTTGTGTGATCTTTCTGCCAATCAATTTTCAATTCCTCCTGGGGAATAATATGGAAAAGAAAGAACCATTAAGTGAAAAAAGTTGGTTAATTTGCATTCCTGCTGTCATGCCCCAAGTGAGTGAGAATGGCCTCATGTTTGTCCTTTTCTTCTACTTCCTTTAAAATCTGACATTCCTATCTACAGAACTATTATACATAATTACTAGCCTTTATATTATGTAGTTTCTGCTTCTCTAATGTGGGAACTGCAACACTGGAAAGGGCAAAAATGAGGCCTATTGAGGGCTTTGGGATCTACAGCTTGTACAGCCCCACCATTCCCTTGAAATGAATGAAAGGAATATGTGGAGCCACAGCAACCCTGGAATTTGGTTACTCCTTTCCATTGGGAAGGAACCAGTTTGGTTCTGATTTCAAAAAAGGCCATTAATGAAAAAAGCCATTTCTTCCTGCTCAGCCTACACACATGCAATTTCTACCTTCCTGGCTCAAGCTGCCCAAACGTAGGGGGTTTCCTTTGCTTTTGCCTCTCTCTCTTTCTCCTCCATTACAAAATTGCATTTTGATGGGAAATGCATTCAAAATTACACACACACTTATACAAATAGTTAAATATGATGTTTTTGAGCTGAGACTTTTAAAAAAATCACGGAGGGAACAGACGTGTGAATTAATGCCTGCAAAAGTGAGCTGGCCAGGAAATTGACTGGCTTCTTCATCCCCACTCACTGCACCTGTTTCCCAGACTGATGGATGCATCTGCTATTTGGATGGCAGGAAACTTTGAGTTCTGAGGAGTACCTGCTGGCATCATGTTTTGAAATACATATATTAAGCTATTGCTGTCAGTCTAAGATGGGTTTGTGGATTTCATAGAGTCTACAGGCCAGTAGCTACAGAAAGTATTGATCTTTTAATATGGAAAAGCCTGTAAAAATACCCTGGACTGATGAACAAGTGTGTCCTAGATAAGATCAAGCCTGAACTTTCCCTGGTAGCAAACGTAATGAAACTGAGGCTGTTGTACTTCAGGCACATCATGAGAAGGCAAGACTCCCTGGAGGAGACAATCATGCTAGTCAGAGGAAGAAGAAGAGGAGGAGGAGGGTGACCAAGTACAAGATAAAGAAACCATGGACATTTTGGAAGGCATCTATTCATAGGGTCGTCAAAAGTCAGAGATGATTTGACAGCAAGTAACAACAACAACATAGAGAGAAAGTCTCACATGAAGTCCTTTGCAGTTATCGTGATCCACACCACACCAGCACAAGGTTTTGCATTTAGGAGACCAGAAGCAAAATAAGTTGCAGACTGGGCGGATTAAAGTTGGTGTGATATCTTCACCCTTAGATGGACCTAGAGAGAACAAAGCAAGAGTTACAGACAGCTAATCATGCACACACCAAAGGGACCTGATATTTATTTTTATAGCATTTCACTCAAAATATTGCCATTAAAACGGTGTTTGCCTTGCAATTTTATCATTACAAATCATCAAATCAATAGAATCAATTCCACTCCCTTTGGTTTAATTTTATCCACATGGTTGGTTTTGCCAGAGAATGCTAGCTAGACCTGATGCTGTTTGAGAGCTGAATCAGGTCTGAGAATGCATCGATCACTTAACTGAAAATGACTCATCCTAGCCAAAGTTCAGTTCATACATGACAACACATCTAAAAAAAATTATGCTCCAGAATGCAAATGTCAATAAAGCACTGACCTGTTACAAAACTGATCAGAAGTCCTGCCATAATGCAGCCAAGACATCCAACTGCACTGTAGTAAAGGTATGACAAAGAATACCAGGTGTCTGCCAGATAAGGTCTAGGAAGACAAAAATGAGGTGAAGTTAATAATCATTCTCTCTCTCTCTCTCTCTCTCTCTCTCTCTCTCTCTCTCTCTCTCCATGTGTGTGTGTGCTCCTTGAACAAGATTTGGTCAATTTATAAAACCTTGCTTTTGGTATGTTATAGCGCAGCATTGACCAGCCTATCAGAGACTAAAACAGTAATAGGACATACTTATAACAAAAAACTATGATGCAATTTCATATAATACAAATATATACTGAATGAAATGGTACCTGATAGGAGGTACAGTAGGTAATACAGTAGCTACAGCATCTGTGTTATTGACAATGCATCCAGCTGTTGAGAGGTGCAATGGAAGAGTCTTTGAAGGTGGGGCAGGATACACAAAAGCTCCAATGCCAACCCAAAATGCCAATGAGATTCCAGTAAAGAGACCTCCAAGGGCACCCTTTAATCAAAATGAACGTAAATGACCATTAATCTCCCTGCAAATATCTCCAGCTAAGAAAAGACCAGCTTATTTCTGGACAGTGTTTTCAGTGAATCTCCATTGCATGTGTTCCATTTGTTAATCATACAGAATTAGCCCCTGTCAAATGGAGTAATGGTCCACATCAGCAGAGGGCAACGTGTGGTCCTAATGACACATACAGACCTTGACCTAAGTTTATGCAGCCAACAGCATTTTGCATGTAATTAGTATATTCCCTGGCAGCCTGCTACCTAGGAAGGAAAGAAGGGAGGAAGGAGAGAAGAGGGGTCACCCACTCAATTTTGGCCCTGGCTCTGCCTACCATTGGTTTGGCTTCATTCACTGAAGACGAGGAGCCTTGATGGATTTCCCACAAGGCAATGCAGCTAAACAAAAACAAAAACCTGGCCCACCATAGTCCATGTGGTAAAATTAAGTGTTTCTGGGCTGATTGTTATACACTGTCAGCACGAAAGCATAATGATTGATTTACTCCGTTAACAGCAACAATCAAAATGAGCTGAGCTTTTGTTAAAAAATCTTACTGCCTACCTTCCAGTTGGTACAGGGAAAGAGAACTCCCAATGTAAATAGTCCTAGCATAGGTCCCCCACACATTCCATGAATGCTAAGTGAAGCCTGTTAAAAGAGAGCAGAGGCAATACTTTAGAAAACTTATCACGGTCATCCAATTTTTCTGCAACTTCCCTTCTAAAATATACTGACTCTTTAAGTTTCTTATCATAGAGGACACACGGTTTTCATTGCTTCTTTTTTAGTCCATTTCTTGACAGATTAAAGAAGATATTCCATTTTCAAAAAGAAAATGTAGCTCTTTTAAAAGATTTTTTTTTCTCCATGAATATTATGTAAGGAAACAATATTAGCCCAAAATGGCACTTGGTTAAGCTAGAACAATTTAGAAAGAAAAACCTCAACTATAGCAGTTCCCCAGGTAGATAGATGATTAGCTATTTAGACAGACTGACAGACATACAAACAAACTGACAGGAATGGGCTGGATGGATAGATGATAGGCAGCAAATGGAAAGCTCCATTGCCATTGCAGAAGAGCCATTTCCATCCTCCTGTAATGTCACCTTTACAAAGAATAAATGAAGAATATATGATTTATTGTATTCAAAGCTAATGTTGGCGCATATATATTCTAAGCAGACTTAAACAGATGTTTACACATAAGGACATCCTACATGGCTGGCTGGGAAATGTAGGAAGTTGTAGGATGTTGTTCTGACTAAACATGCATAGAATTATGCCTTTAACCAAACAGTTACGCCAACCAATTAATCTAAACAATGAGCTAATAATTCTTTAACTGGGTAGCAGCCCTGACTTCTAATACCATTTTCCTGAGGACATATATAGGTATAAAAGCCTATAAAATATTCTTGGATTTTCCTGCACATGCAGAAAGCCTGAGAGGTAGAGACAGGGACCTCTGAATCCATCACTCACAATGGTCCAGAGATAACTCCACCAATAATTTGCTTGGTAGAGGACAGATCCCTCTGAGTTGAAGAAGTATTGCAAATGCAACCCTTTTACTGTACATGAGGATCCCTTTTTATTCCCCTATATTTTTGGAACAATAAATAAGAAAATAATTGGCCACATAAGCCAAGACTTTTTTAAAGAAATATATCCTGTGAGCATTTCTCCTGATTAGCCTTTAAAAGAAAATACTTGATGCAGAATGTAAAATTTTATTTAATTAAAAAATATCTACCCTGTCTCTACCTGAAACAGATCTCGAGACAGCTTTCAAACCAATAACAGCACATTTAAATACAATATACGAATATCCAGGTGCCTTGTCTAGCAGCGGCCTCAAAGACTTCCTTTACAGAGAGAACAACTTCGCTTTCTCAAGGGAGTTCCCACTACAGATATGGAATTGCTCAGGGAAGAAAATCCAGATGCTTTACACATACAAGGGCTCCAAGATAGACCAAATAACTTAAAATGTACAGTTACCTGCACAACACCACCCATCAGCGATGCTGCTACAGCCATTGTAGTACAGAGCACTCCAAATACTATGCCTTTAAAATAAAATTGGAAATGATCAACAAATATAACCATAAACGTGTAGATGTATTCTCATGAGGGGTTCAACAAATGAAAGATAATCATGTGGCTGGTTGCAATTTGTGCCTATCTGTAGGAGTTTCCCTCAAACAGAACTCCATGTGGGGTATTTCAGGTCAACAGGAAAGAGTCGGCAGCATCTTTAGGTGACCCCTATTTCAGTGGGACACCTTACCCACTGCAGCCATTATTTTCAGTGTTATAGGAACCAGCTCCCTGTTGTGAACTATTCTGGGGGTGGATTTCAAGCATTACCATAGGATCATAGAACAGTAGAGTTGGAAGGGGTCAGGAAGGTCATCAGGTCCAATGAACAGCTCTTATAAAGATCAGCTCCACAATGTCTCTGAATGAAAGCTGGGATGGATAATGAACCCCACTTGACATAGCAGTCACCAGCCTCCAGTGCTTTTTGGCAATTATTGCTCCCCACCTTGCCACCAGAGCCAAATCTCACATTGCTCCATGGGGTACCCCAAATCCTCCAGAGCTGAGGATTTCACAGGTAGTGCCGGACTTTAAGGGAGAATCAACTACAATTGCCTCATTCCCCATTCCAGCAGTGGAAAGGTTTCATTGAATCAGAAAGTTTCTGCAGCCAGAAGAACACTATCCATTAGCAGGAAGATCAAAATCTTGATTTTTCAATGACAGCTATGCAACTTCAGAGTCTATTAATACTGTCACTGGAATTCTAAAGTAATTATTTTTGTTTGCAACTCTCTTTTTGCTGTCTTCATGTATTACATTTTTAACACATGACAGAAGGCTGGGAGAAACAGATCTCATGTTCCCGTGGTTAGAAGTAGGAATGTGCATATCAGCAACCTCTGTGAATTTCGACGTCAAATGACTTTCTTTTATGTTTGTTCAAATGAGAAAATTATGCATTTGTATATGCATTTTAAAAAACCTCACTTTCCCCCACCCAAGATACAGACATCAATTAAGCATGAAGTTCCATGTATGTTTAGACAGAAAACAGTCCCACAACTTCTGTAAGACTTTTTTCTGAGTAAACATATATACAATTGACCCCTAATATTGAAATGGACATTTTTAAAAAGTATGCATTTTGGAATCAGCATTGCAAATCTAGAATTATGCAAGGTTTGCTCGCAGAAATGAACTCACATTTTATTTGGATTTTGAGGTGGTAATGAAGCAAATTCTGGTTTAAAAATGGATCAAAACTAAAGCCTTTTTCCTCCTTAGTTAGATGCCAATATAGTTCCCAAAAACAGTATAATGATGAATGTTCTTACATGATTCTTATCCTGATCTTGCTAGAAAAGTTGAAGAAGCCCCTACTTCTTAATAATTGCCTTAAAGTATCAATGTCTTCCTAAAAACAGTGTTAAATATGAAGATATTGATACTACAAAGCAATTATTCTATACATTCGTGGAATTCATAAAGGCCATCCCTACCCAAAAAGCTTTCCTGCGCATTATCATTGATGTTCATTTGTAGGAACAAGAAATGATTACTTCTCTATTTGCAACCCTTCTAATTCATGGAGTAGCTCAATGGCAGCATGACAAAGCTCAGAAGACTGAACTACAGCTCAGCATCTTGCAGTGCTGCCATCTAAAGTCTGCTGAACATAAAGCCCCAATTAGATGAGGTTGGTTCAGAGCTAGATATGGAATGGAGCATAAGCACTCCAACTCACGGCCATCATAGGCAGCATTAGCATCTTTGCTGATTTTGGTTCATTTGGAAAACTGGGCAATAGGTGCACATTTCAATTAATTAACATACATGCATGTGAGGTGTGAGATTTTTCCTCTGGTCAAGTTGGTTAAACTAGTGACTGTATAATGATCCTGTCCTAAGTCTGTAACTGAGAAAAAGATGCAATGTGCTGTTTTTGTAACTCAGTCATGAATGATTTGTTTCTTCCTTGATTTTCAGCTCATCAACTCAAGAATAACATGCATTAAAGAAAAGTCCTAATCATTATCAGTGAAGCATACAATGTAGTGCCAATACATAATTTACAGTTATCTGAATAATGTCTAATAGACGCATTAGGGAGCTTTGAAAAAGTGGAAAGATTTGTGCTGCATTGGAAGCAAGAAATGGCTTGATTGGTAATAAATTTTTTGCCTTTTCCTATTTAGTAACAGAAGTGTAGCTTTGTAGTAAATAAGAAAAGAATCCATTTACTCTACCTACATAGGCCTTTGCTGACCCAGGTGTTCATACGTTCGGAGAGTTTTGGGAAGCAGGACTTGACAAAATCTTCAAACGTTACAGTTGCCAGAGCATTGATGCTTGCAGCCACTGTGCTGAAAAGGCAAACATGAACAATGTCAGAACTGCTGGCTTGTGCAGACATGAGCTGCATTATGACAAAGGATGCTAGTTCACATATGAACAATCTGAGCATTTAATTCATATAAGCTTGCAAACTCTCTGGCTTACAATTAGTAGCGACCCAAGAAACATGTATGCTCTACACAATTATAACACACAGATTGCCATTTTGTACCGTCTCCACTAGCCTAATCTTGAAAAACTCTGTCATGGTATGAGAAAAAGTCAGCCTGAATGGAAGAGTATGGAAAGCTTTCACATGACCACTTCACTGAAATCCATCTTCAGCCCCCATTCATATTACCATCTCTCTCTCTCTCTCTCTCTCTCTCTCTCTCTCTCTCTCTCTCTCTCTCATATTAATTATATTTATCCCCCACTGTTTTATAGGCTGCAAAAACTTAACATTTCAGGAGAAACAGAAGCATTAGAAAAGAAAGGATAGCAACTGTTTCATCTGATATCTGTCTGAAAAAGAACCTGCCTCCAGCATCTGAAATCCCCTCCCAGACAGTTTTAGTCATATCTGTTCTCTCTTCCTCTCCTTTATCTATATTTTACTCTCCATAAACAGTCACATGGTAGAGTATCTTTCAACTGATCTACAGAGTGAGGAAACACCCGATTCCCTATCAGTGGAGCATCTTTTTCTTTTATTGGAATCAGCATCATTAGCCTTATATCATCTGTGTTTCTTCACAACAGAGAGTCTTTAAAGATCTAATTCATGGTATCTGAGTACCAAAGAGATGATACTATAATTTTCTTATATGCTCAAGAAGGGAAGGGAAAACATCTGTCTGCCAGAGCACATGCCAGGCTCTGTGCTGGATCACAGACAGAAAAGACAAAGCACTGCAGCATTTTCATTGCAGGGACAGGCCAGGAGTGAAACACTGCAGCCTTTTCGTGAGCAGCATCCCCTCTGCAATGTTCTGCTTGGCTTTCCCTCATTAAATCCTGCATAGAGATAACACCAGAGGAAGGCACAGACCTTAGAGTTCCACTGAATGCACAAGCAACAAATAATCCAGGAAGTCCTGGTACTGAGGAAAAGAGGATCATCACGAAATATGGCATCAGCTGCAGAGAAGAAAGAAAGAATGGTTAGGAAAGACCCTCCACTGAGGACATTTTGATGAGTGAATTGACCTGCTGCACATGAGATCTTTATTCATTTCAGGCATCAGCACATGCAATTATGGGAGCACATGCTTTTAATGATATTCTGCTTCTTTTGGTATTGTTTTTCAATCATTCATTGCTCTGGAATTTGTATGGATCTGGAGCAGTGTATAAATGTTGTAAATAAATTAATGAAACAAATAATGCTGATTGAATGGAGTTTAGGGACTGCTGACATATGTGCATATACTAAGACCAGTACTAGCTCCAGGATTTGGGTGTTGGCAGATCATGCAGAGTTCTGGCTGAGCTGGATTTATCCATGATGAGCCCAAGTCAAAGGAAATTAAAGAAGAATGTGGAGGACTGTCTGCGAACCACCCTAAACCACCATTTAGTAGCTGGGGCAAAGGGAGTTGGCTAAGGTGAAGAGGCATGGCCACTGGAAATCCCAGAGGGCTAGATTTGCACCTGGGTTTGAATGTCCCTACCGCTCCTGTGGACAATATTAGGCTAAATGGACCAAGGATCCAAGTTAGCATAATGTAGGTTTTTCTGATGTTGGGCTGGAGGACTATGCATGCCAATACAGCCATAGCTCTGTTGGTTCCCTGGTTCTGCCCCCTTGCACTGATCTTTGCATACATATAGGATGGAATAGAGTTAGCTTTTTTTAGTCTAACTGCTTCTTGATCTCTCACTCCCATCATGCACTTGGAAACACATTTAATTTAATAAGATCAGATCTCTGTGGGTGATCCTTCACACAGCGATCCAGAATGCTGCATCTGCATACCAAAAACTTTTCTTGTAATATTTCAATAATGGTTCCACCACTGAAGCCAACAACACATGGCAAGAATGGCACAAATCCAAAACCAGTTCTCTGTTTACATGTCTGTTTACTGTACCTGGTCAGGTGCTGATATGAAACCAGCAGTCCAAGGATCACAGCTCCTGAAATGGGAGTACATCACCAAGCCGCAAAGGACTGCACATATCAGGATGATCCACAGCCCGACTAAGTTAAGATATAGTGCACTGCATGAAGGAAAGGAAAGAAAGTGGGTCATTTAAGAATCATGAAGGAAGTGGTCATTCTTACATGCTGCTTCCTTTGTTTAGCCATTTGCAACACAGTGTCCTCTGGTTAAGAAGGGCTCTTACTCTTCCAATCCCATCTTGAGATAATGGGTGATGTACTCTAAGACATCTGGAGAACAACTTGTTTGGGAAGGCTGTTTTAGATGTGTCTAAGTAGTCATTAGTGTTTGTGGCAGTCAGCTTCACTAGATGCAAAGCTATATCACAGAGTTGCGTCAAAGCAGATACATAAAGCATGAACAAGAGCAGCAAAGGCGTGAGCATCTGTCCAAGGGTAGGAAAGCAACTGCCTAATCAGGACTTTGCAGATCATGTGCACAGATGTTTGGATGCAGTGAAACCTGGTTTGGGTATTGGTCACATGAAGTGTGAGACCACTGTTTTAAAAAGCAGCTTCTGGTGCACATGTCCAAACATGAAACACAACAGAGAGTGAGAGCCTGTCTTTAAAAATGTGCTGTCCCTACAGCCACTGTTGGACTCCAGACTCATAGCTGAAGAGTTAGCTGAATCTGCTTACGGATTGGAAGCATATATAAGATGGCTTGCAAGCTTGTGCTGTTTCGCTCTGTGTCCCCCAGAAACATATTTGGGGCCCATGTGAAGGGACCATACTCCTGTCTAGGGTCTGTACACCTGTGCAGTTCCTTCAGAAGAGGAGGACTCTTTCTCAGCCCAGAATCCTCCCTTGGATGGAGAAGCACTACATGCATTTGTCAGCAGGTACATAGCTCATCGCATGAATGCTGAATGTGCAGGTGGTGGAGGATTTGGCTGGTAGATCATTTCAATTGTTAAAACATATGATCTGGCCTGGGCAACTTCTTCTTCCTTCTCTTTCTCCTCCTATATTTTTATTTTATACTGATAATTTTAATTTTGTATTTGTA